AGTTTTTCCAAGAACCAGGTTCTTCCGAGGGAATTCCCACTTTGGATCCTCCTACGTCAGGGTCGAGGGAAGGGAGAGAGGGGAGAAAAGCGTGAGAGGGAGAAGGCAAACCCAGGAGGGAGCACGCCCCAGCCCTGGACAAGGCCCAGTGTGCAGAGAACTGGCCGTCACCTAAACCAGAGCCGGCGACGCCTCCCAACACCAAGGGCAGGACCCGCAGCCAGGCCCCTGGGAGCCATGACAGTTCCCTCCCCAGGGGAGGGCAGGCAGTGCCAGCCACAGAATGGCCTCAACTCAGGGCCCCGACCTTTGCCGGTCCCTGGCGTATGGTCTGCCCTGCCCCCCAGAGGACTGAGTGGGCACCAGACTGCCTCCCAGCCCAGGACCCCCGACTACGATGGGGGTATCCAAGGCAACTTCCCTGCACAGCCACCCCGAAAAGACAGGTGCCACCGTGCTCCTGTCTGCTCCTCTCAGGGGTTGCTGCCTGTCCTGCACACACCAGCTCACTGTGCCCCCCGCTCGGGCTCTGGCTGGTGCACCACCCCCTGCCCTCTCACCGAAGCTCCACCCCCGCATCCGGCCCACTCAGAACCCATCTGGACGCCTTCCCAGTCCCCCCAGCGCTCTGTACTTGAACTCCGACTGGGGACGCCAAAGTCTGCCAGGAACCCTGCCCTCCTGTGCTGGCACCAGGTGTTCATCGCCCCAGGTCTCCCGCAGCTGGGTGTGGGTGCAGCCTCGGGGTCCTGCTCACGATGGCCCTGCCAGGCTCACCCGACCGCAGAGATGGCACTGATGGGGACCTGCTACCCCAGGCCAGGGGCCGCCCTCTCCGACACGAGTGTGCACTTGGGAACGGCTCCCTCTCAGTGGCACAGCCAGGCCTCTGGCAAGCTCCTGGGCCCTCGGTCAGGGTCAGTGCCGGAAACATCGCCATGGCTGCCCCCGTCATCACCTCCCCTGCTGGCGCTGCAGACCCCTCGCCTGCATTCCGGAGACTGCACTAAGCATGCGCAGACGGCATCGATTTGATTCTCTCGAAGACGTGAGAAAATCATTCTCCCCACTTTACATAAGAGAAAACAAGCTGAGCGGTTGAGCCACGTGTCCAGGACTTGGACCTGGTGTATGTGGCCTGGAGCCGGCTCGAGAGCTGCCTGGGGTGAGAGTGGTGTGTCTCCGCTGGCAGGAGCGCCCACCACCCCGGCCTTCCTGTGTGGCCTCACTGCAAACCGGCTGGTTTGTGAAGGACTCTGGTGGCTCATTCCAGAACCCTGCTGTGAGGCCGAATTCCTGCCAGGATGGGGTCACAGACCAGGAAAGCCAGAGGGAGGTGGCAGTGGCCACACCTGGGAAGGGCCTCGTTGGCCTACACCCTCACCAAGGTTTTGGGCTGGATGTCACCCAAACCAGGCCCCAGGGCAGAGGCCCAAGCTGAGCTGCCCCGTGAGATGTGGCACCTCCTAAGAGAATCCCAGCCCACCTCCCAGCCTGAGTTGGGAACTGCCGGTACCCTGTGGCCACCAGGTGCCGAGCTTCCCGCCTGGTATTCCCACCTAAGCCTGGTGGTTCTCTTCACACACACCCTCGACTCTGAGCACCTTCCTTGGCTCCTCCTAGAACCTGGCTTGGCTTCCAGCTCCTCGCAGAGTGCTCTCGGGAACGCCGAAGGGGCAGGCCTACTGGCCAGCACGGCAGCCCGGGGAGGCCTGGCCAGGACGGAGAGCCCTGGGGCCCTGCCATAGCCTGGGGCTCTGAGCATCGAGTGCCAACCTGCTGGCTGTGGCTGGCACCCTCCTCTGAGGTCAGTGCCCCTCCCCCTGCTGCCAGCCTGGCTGTCCCCTCCCCTTACTGCCTCTCACCTGGAGGGGGACAGCCCCCACCCCACAGTCTCCCCCCAACAGAGAACCTGCAGAAATGAGGGCAGAACACTGGCCTCCTCTGCCCAGCCCCCACCCCTAGAGCTCTGGGATTCAAATCCTATGCCTCCCCCCGTGCCTGGGGCCTTTGCACGTGGTCCTCTGGCAGCTGCCTGGCCCACCCTCCCCGTGGGTCCCCGAATCCCAGTACGTGTAGATCAGCACCATCAGCCGCCGCCACTTGACAGCTTCTGTCTCCACACGCTGCCTGCCCCCGGGGCCAGCTGGGCAGGGCAGGGCAGGGGTCTTCTGGCCCACAGGGACCCTCACCGGGATCTTGAAGGCGTCCACGGAGACTTGGTTCTCCATGGAGTCAAGTGAGGGCCGGCGGGCGCCGGATGAGGAGTAGCTGACAGGGAAGGCCTGGGCAGGCCGGCGGAAGGTCATCTCTGCCGAGGGGATGGGCGGCTTGTGTGCGTTCTTGTGGTAGCGGTGGATGCAGAAGGTGGACAGCAGCACCGAGACGATGAAGGAGAAGAGGACAGCCGCTGCGATCACCGTGCGGCACAGCTCGTCGCACAGGGGGTCTGCGGGCAGGGGCGCGTGAGGCACCACCAGGCAGGGCTGGGCATGCTCCCCTGCCCGTCCTCCCGCCCGCCGTGTCCGTGCCAAGTGCGCAGTGGCCGTGAAGGCGAGAGAGGCCCTGAGAACACGCCGAAGAGGCACAGTCGCTGCCATGTGTTTCCCCCTCCTAGACTGCTATTGCCCTTTTACAGATGGAGACAGAGGATCAGAGAGGTTAAGTAGCCTGCTGAGGTCACACAGCAGAGGCCATGTGCCTGCTGCATCAGCAGGCCCCGGAGGGCAGGCAGCGGAGCTCAAGATTTTCTGCTGTTCCAAATGCCTTTGGTATTTTCTTTGTGAAAAATGAAAGTGGCTCAAATACCAGAAAAACATCCCTGGGCTCAGGCAGGACAGTTCCCTCCAGCGTGGTCAGGGTGGCTCCCTTGAGCCACCCACCGCACCTGCTGCCCCCGAAAGTGTGCCTGGTAGGTGGGTCGCAGCTGGATGCTGCCCGGGCCCCATACGGGGACAGTCTGATCAGCCCGACAAGTTATCTGGTGGAAGAACTGCTTTTTTGGCCCATCCTTCCTCACACAGAACTTGGGGCCAGAGAACGCTTCACAGGGGCCCTCGGCTCCTCTCCCGGGCTGCCCCGATGGGGGAACCGAGGCCCAGAGGGAAGGAGGAGTGTCTCGTGGGGCCTACTCACTTCCCTCAGTTTCCTCCGCGCTGGGACCGCAGAAGTGTGGTTGAAACCTCACGGGGTTCGGGGAGGTGTGGGGCGCCCTGGGTGGTGGTCCCGGCCCGCCCACTCACCCTGGCTGTCCTCGGGCTCGCAGAAGCACTTCTTCTCCTCGGGGAAGCAGGTGCAGATGCCATAGCCAGCTTTAATCCCCCGGCGCTCCCCCGGCTCATGCCCCCCAACAATGCTGCCCCCTGAGGACAGACACGCCCAGTCAGCCTGCTGCAGTGCCTCACAACCCAAGGCCCCAGACTGCAGGGCAGTGTGCCGGGGAGGTGAGAGCCTCCTTCACCCAAGGGAAGTGAGCTCTGAAACGCCCCAAAGCCGTGCAGTAAGCCCGGCCCCCTCCTGGCATTTCAGTGAACACAGGGCTCTGCATCCCGCCACCCTTGAAAACCGTGAGCCTGGGGCCTGACCCACACATTCCAGCCCCGGCCAGCTCTGGGGTACAGCCCTCTTCTGCCGGCCTGTCCAGGGCCGCACCTCCCTTTTTAGCTGCCCCTGAGGAGTGACCGTGTGGGGCACTTTCTGGGGCCTCAGCAAGGGCCCTGGCCGGTCTGTGGGTCTCCCCGCCCACGGCCAGGGGGACGCGGGGACGCGTGGGAGGCTCGGCTTGCTGCGCAAAGCTGACGCACATGCGGGGGCCCTGGCTGAGGTACGAGGGGGGTCTGGCCTCTCCCTCTCTGCCCGCCACAGGTTCCTGCACCCCGATTAAATGCCACCAGGGCAGGTCGAGCGGCTGCTTACGGAGGCAATCCTGGGGGCAGATGTGGGCGTCACGGCTCTCCACGGCGTCGCAGTGGCCATCGGGGCAGGTCTTGGTGCTGGGGGAGCAGGTGGAGAAGTTCCTGGTGATCCCTGCACAGGATGCATGGCGGCTGTCACCCACGGGGCGGCCCCCCGACTCCCCATGGCCACGCAGGCCAGCCCTGCCCCTCTGGGGCCAGAGCAGGAAAACACTGCAGACGAAGCCCTGCCAGCCGGAGCACCCACTCCATGGAGCTGGGGGTGCCTGAGCGTGCCTGCCGGGTGGCAGGGTGAGAGGGGCTGGCAGTCCCCGCATGGAGGAGGCCAGAGCCTCTCAAGGCTGCGCAGTGAGTGGGACCCTCACGGTAGCTGAAGCAGACAGTGGGCCTCCTTCCTGGGGCCACATGCCCTGCCCTTGACTCCCAGGAGGAGCCACTCCGGCCCCTGCACCTCCCAACTTTGACCTAGACCCTCTGGGGCCCAGAGTGAGTCCAGCCCGGCAGACCATTCGCTGGGCTCATGGTCTGGTGCCCTGCACCCCACCCTCCTGCCCACTCTCCCAGCACCGGGCGCTACATGAGGGGCAAGGTGCTGGCAAGCTATGTGCAGCGGGCAGGCCCACCCCGGGGACAGGACCCTGTTTTCTCCCGGCACCCACCCCCGGGCATCCCTGGGGCTCTGCGGGGGGCCTACCTTTGCCGTCTCCCTGCCTCCACTCACACCTGCCTGTCGGGGAGCCCAGGCCACCACACTCCTCGCACTCGGGTCGCCTCTTGTTGACCGCACAGGACAGGGGGCAGCCCACCTCCTCGGCCACGTCTGGGGGCAGCAGACAAGCAGGTCACAGGAGGCAGGCCTGGGGTTGAGCCCCGAGGGGCAGGGGTGACTCAGCCCCAGGGCAGCAGAGCCTGGCCGGGAGCATAGGGATGGGGCACCACAGTCCCAAAGTGGGGGCAGCCCCTGGGCTGGGGTGAGCGCAGGAGGAAGGACGTGAGTGCGGCCAGACTCGGCAAATGACAACCAGAACGCCCAGTTAGACCTGGGTGTCAGATGACGAAGAGCTGCTCTGCCTAAGTCCGTTCCTCATGGTGGCTGGATGCACTTGGAGGTTTGTCTCCCAAGAGACTCTGCAAATGTTTTTTTTTTTTTTTAATTTGAGTACATTATGGGGGTACAAATGTTTAGGTTACGTATATTGCCTTTGCCCACCCGAGTCCCCCAGATGGCGAGACTCCGCAAATGTTGTGTGGGACATACTTATACAAAAACTGCCTGTTGTTTACCTGCAGTTAGAATTTAGCCAGGGTCCTGTACCGTATCTGCACACGTACGAGGTGTGCTGCCAGGGGCTGGCAGGGCTGACAGCTTACTCCCGGGCTGCTCTGGTTGAGCTGGTCGCTCTCTTCCCTCCCCGGCTGGGCTGTGCGGCTTCACTGTTATTTGCATTCACAGGACGGGGACTCGGGCCCAGGGAAGCCCCCAGGCCCCCCGCGCCCACCCCTCCCTGCAGCCGGCACTCACACGACCCCTCCATCGTGACGAGCAGCGGGGCCTGGGCCTGCCTGCGGGTCTGCCGGTCGGCGGCCACCACCGTGTACTGGAGCTCGGCACATGCCGGCCGCCGCAGGGTCTCCGTGTCGTTCACGAACAGGGTCCCCGAGGTGTCCTCGGCTGAGGTGACCACCCCCAGGGCGCTGCAGTTGGCGCTGGAGGGCTGCAGCCTGTACTGGATGTGAACACCGCTGAGCTCCTGGCAGTTTTCTACACAGACTCTCCCGATCTAGGCAAGGGGCACAGGGAACACTTCAGCCAGGCAGCTGGACCCGCCTGCGGCAGCTGCTGGAGGCGGCCCGAGTCCTGTTAGGGCCCCCAGCGTGGCCTGGCGATGGCAGCCCTCAAACACTCTCCTCTGTCCCCTGGGAACCTGCAGACCCAACCACCAGCCCTGGCCTTGCCCTGACCACTTCTGCTCAGGCCACCACATCACTGGCCACCCCTGCTCCTGGGAGCCCAGAGGGTTTGGTCTAGTGGCAGGAAAACACCCCAGGCAGGCCTCGGGTGGGGGCAGTGCCGACTCGCTCCCTCACTCCTCACTCACTGGTCACAAAGGCTGACTCGCTGTCCCCCATGTACCTCCCTGGCTGCTCCAGCATTGCTCTGGGGGCCACTTGTTTGTGTCCTCGGGGCATGGGGCTTGGCGGACCACCCCCTACCCTGGTCACCTGCTTGGTCAGAGTACTGTACCCCAGCCACATGATTCGGGCAGTGGGGTCACCCAGCCCAGCCAGGACCAAGGGGCCTCCCTGGGACTTTGGCTGGAATCCCCGGCAAAGAGGGGCCTCTTCTCCTGGGGATGCTGGGAGAATGGTCCAGGCTGGTGCAGGTGGGCCCAGCCTGCAGGCAGAGCCAGCCCTAGCCCAGCACACCCTGCTCAGGCCCACACCTGACGCCATAGCAAAACTGGCCTCCTGGCCTCCCCTACAGGCCTGCTCACTTCCACAGCCTCATGTCATCCTCACCTGTCCCAGATCCCTGTCCCCAGTTTACAACTTCAAACACTGGGGAGGGAGTGGGAGAGCACAGTGAGTCCAAGGCGGGACTGGGCCCCAGGCCTCTGTGATCTCTGCTTATGTCTGACGGAGTGCAGGGGACCCACCTGCCTCCAGCAATGCCTCCTCCCACCCAGGCCCCCGTGAGAACCCCCGTGCCCCCCTGCCTTGTCACCCCTCCATCTCTGACCCCTCCCCCATAAAAGGCCAACAGGGGCAGCAGGTCAGGGAGCTTGGATGTGTCCCAGGATATATCCCTTGTGTGCTGGACCAGGTGGCTGCCAGGAGTGGATGGGGGCACAGAACCAACCACAGGAACCAGCAAAACCACTGGAGCAACGGGACTGCACTTAATGTGACATTCTGAAGAGGAGGTGCCCACCTGCAGCTCCATTAGGAGAATACGGCGTGTGATAGCATGCACACTGCAGTTTCCTTAAGAAAAACATTCGAGAAAGACACCCAGATGCCAAACACGTGGGGTGCCTGTGGAAAAAGGGATCACTCCTCCACAGTCCTTATTTTCTCTAATGAGTATTTACTGCTTTTATTTTTTCCGTGTCTGATCGTTACTTTCCAAAAACATACATGAGTTCTGCAAACAGAAAGCAGAAAGTGGAAGCGCCCCATACCTTCCCCCAGAGGGCGCCACTGCTAAGCGTCTGGGTTTGCACGCTTGCAAATTCCCGTCAGTGAAGATTTGCTTTTGCACAAACGGAGTCAGGTGAGACCAACAATTCTGCAAACCACTCTTTCACATAGTCCACCGGGAACATCTTTCCAAGTCAGCACACGTACATGTACCCAGCATTGCTCTTATATTAGCGCAGAAAATGTTTTAAGGACACCAAGAAGTGAGGAGAAAAAAGAGGGGCCCAAGGAGCCCCCAGCCCTACCTGCTGTGGGCTCTCCCAGCCTCCCTCGCCTACGCCGGCAGCTCCACTGGGCAGCTCTGTGCTGCTTGGGCCAGGGAGGGGTGTCGCCAGCCCCAGCCTTGACTCCATCTGCCAAAAGTGCGCCCTACCCTGGGGTCCCCCGGCACCCGCACCCCTCCTCAGGCAGGCAGCAGGCCTGGGCTCACCTGAGCGAAACGGCGGGCCCTCCTGCTCACGGAGAAGGCGTAGGCACCGGGCAGGCGCAGGCTGACGGGCAGCACGGACACGTTGAAGTGGAGGAGGAGGACGCCCGGCCCAGGGCCCTGAAAGTCGGAGTCGTTGACCAGCACCGCCAGCTGCAGGGCCCGGCTCTCCGAGATGGGGAGGCTTCGGTTGAGAACTAGCCCTGCGGGTCGGGGCATGGCGAGGACAACTGAGCTGGCCCTCCCGGACACACAGCCCTGCACGCACGAGTGTGCAAACACGTGCTTTCACACTTACGGTGCCCTGTAACGGGCCTGGGGCCTGGCCCTGCGTCAGAACCGACATTTAAGTGTTGGCCATTGTGCTAAGCTGGAAACGCAGAGACTCCTTCCTAGCTGGGGGTAGCCTGTGTGTGTGTGCATGGGTGTGTATGTGTCACGTATGGGGGGTGTATGGTCTGTTTGTGGGGTGTTTGTGTACAGTGGGCGTGTGTGTGGTGTGTGGTGTTTGTGCATCGGGTATTTCTGTGTGTATGGGATGCGTGTGTGGCGTGTGGGCACACAGGAAGTAAAGAGCTGCACCTCCTCCAAGGCCCTGGGAGGAATGTGCTAGAGCCCTCCATACAGTTCCCCCAGAGAATGGCAGAACTCTCTTTCCCAGCAGCTGCCTCCAGCGGACCCAAGGACCCCTGAAGCCTGGACTCTGGAACTTGCACCTTCTGTGTACCCACCGTGTGTGCAGCTGCGGTTCTAGTTTAGCAGACACAGAACGGTGGGAGGGGTGCTCTGGCACACAGGTGTTCACAGTGCCATGGCGAGGACAGGTGGGGACCTGCAAAAGGCTTGTAGGGTGAGGAGGGCTGAGGAGCGAACAGGACCAGGCCGAGCAGAAAGGGGTAAAGGCACCTGTGACCCCAGGTCCCTGATGCAGACCCCAAGTGCAAGTGGTTTATTCAGAAGGTGATCCCAGGACACATGGGTGGGAGGTGGGGAGGGAGGCAGGGAACAAGGCAGCTGCACAAAGGTGTCCCACGAGCAGGTGAGTCCCGTGGCACATCCCAGGAGCTGGCAGGACGAGGGTTTCTGAACCCCCCACCTGACTCAGGGCAGCTGTACACCAACCCATTCGTAGAGAGCTGCTGGGGCGAGGCAAGAACCCCTGTGCACTTGGGTCACCCCAGGCGCAGCAAAGCAGGTGCCAGGGGCTGGAGGAAGGCCTCGGTGACAGGTATTCCCAGTCAGTGGCAAGACCTGGCAAGGTCAGCATGGGGTACGGTACCGCCCTGCTGGAGTGGCCCACCGGCAGTTCCAGTAGAAAGGACAGGCTGTGAAAGCCCAGCGGACACAGGAGGGTCTGGGCAGAGGGTGAAGGGAAGGTGGCCTGGGCTGCAGAGGGCCACTCCAGAGGTGTGCGTGTGGCAGGGTGCTGCCCACCCAAGAAGAGCCGGCACTTGGTTTCCTGGGGGCCCCTCTTACTGTAGTCGTGCACGGTCGCCCGCACAAAGCTGCCATTGGCCTGGGCCAGGGTCTCGTTGGGCCAGTGCTCCACGCGGAAGGTCTGCTGGGCCCAGGCGTCCCCGGGGAGCAGCGTGCTTGTGTACCGCCTCACCAGCTCCCCAGATGCCGGCACTACATCTGCGTCAAAGACACGCAGTGTGGCCACCACAGTGCCCTGCAGGGTGCAGAGGGCACTGGTCAGAGCGGGAGACAGGGGCCCTTGGAGACTCCAAAGGTCTCGGGAGGGTGCATGCCTGGCACGGCCCACAGGTGGGCCAGATGTCAAAGCCAGCTCTGGGTTCAAGCCCCCGTGCAGTCACTTGCCAGCCTGAGCCACTTGCCAGTCACCTTCCCTGGGCCACTGTTCCTCACCTGCGCAACAGGTGTGAAAAACATCTCTAGAATTCCCTTAGGAGAATTGGGGCAGATGCCCAGACACTGTGCCGACTGGAATCCAGTCCCCACAGAGCAGAACAAACACCCCCACTCTCCCCTGAGGAACACAGTGACAGGTGGCAGAACGGACATCCAACCCAGGTGTACGTGGGCACGCCCTCCAAGCACCTTCTCAGACGAGGTGGATGGGGGTGTGAGCAAAGCCACTAGGCACCCGCGATGGCTCTGCTCGCCAGGCCCCTGCTGCCACCGCAGGGCGGCTCAGCCAGGCTCACCAGCCTTTCCCCACAGACGTGCTTTTCTCCCAGCCTCACCACAACCCTTACCAAGCCAGCACCTGGGGTGCCCAGAGAAGCAGGAAATGGCAGCGCAGCGCTCGCTCGCTGGGCCTCCGCCCCCGCGTCCGCAGCCAGGCCTCTGCAGGGAGGCCCGAGGCCCAGGCCCGCAGGCCCGCCGACAGGCTCTCCAACCCCGGGCTCCTCCCCTCTAGCCCGGCGCCCTCCGCGGCTGTCCCTGCCAGTGTGCGCCCAGACGCGCTCGCGGTCAGACCCGGGCCTGGCGCCCGAGGGAGGCCGGCAGGCGCGGGCAGGACCGGCCTCCTCCCCTCCGCTACGGCCAGACGGACGGCTGGACAGACCGCGACCAACAAACGCACGCGCACGGGCGCCGCGGACAAGCACCTCCTTCCGCTTGAACTCCACCTCGGCGCTGGCGGTGTCCACGCCCCCGGGGCAGGTGGGCGGCGAGTCGTCCTCGTCGTACACGGTCACCGGGAAGGGCACCATCACGGCCTCCTCGCGCGCGCCGGCGCGCACCGTGCACCGCGCCACCAGCTCGTACTTCTCCCGCTGCTCGCGGTCCAGCGCCCGGCGCGTGCTCACCTCCAGGCTGTCGGGCGCGCAGCGGAAGGGCAGCGCCTCACCTGCGCGTCAAGCGGACGGGCCCCCCGTGAGCGCCGCAGGGACGGGGCGCCGCCTTCTCCAGGGGCTGCGCCGTCAGGGCCGTGGGGCTGGGCCCGCGCCCCTCCGCAGCTCCCCGGGGCCCAGGGAGACGGGGCGGGACACTGGCCGCCCAGGGAGGGCCCGGGCGCCCCTCCGCCCGCCTGGCCTCCATCTGGAGTGGGCTCGCGTGGGCAAGGGTGGCTTCGGCTGAGCCCAGGCTGCAGGGCGGGAGAGCCAGCTCCCGGCTTCGCGGGTTTTTAAAAAAATGTTAGGATTTCTTGTTGAATTTTGAAAGCAGTATGTGCTCATTTTAGAGAATGTGAGAAGTAAAGCCACGATTCTACCATTTGAAAACAAACACGGCGGACATCTGGTGTATGGGTGATTTGACATTGACACAGATGTTTCAGACTGCAGGTGGGCGTCCCTGCTCTACGCGAGGCAGGTGCCTGGGTTTCCTCCCCGGAAGGTGGGGCGCTGAGACTAAAGAGCCTGCCCTGTGCCTGGCCCTTCAGCTGCCCCACAACACCCGCTGAGGCAGGCCCAGGAGCCCCTCACACCTTCACCCTGAGCCCGTCCGAGCATTTGCCCTCCAGGAACAACCCAGAAAACGGGACGTGCCGAAGGCCACTCTGAAGACCCCACAGCCGACCACAGGCAGGTCAGGGCAACCCCGCCCACTTCCCAGCCAGAACCTGAGTTACGTTGAATTGCACACCTGGGAGATGCTTATTCTGTGATCTTTCCCTCTACTGTTTGTAATTACAAGAAAACACACTAAACAAAATTGAATTCTATAACTTTTAGTGAAAAAGGGCAGCACGACAAACGTCCATGTGCTTTGCCAACCATCTGGTTCAGAGATATCCCTGCATGGAAAACGGAAGGCTGACGCTGAGAGACAGTGAGCGACGGCTTTTCTTCCTCTGGAGTGTCGTTAACATCGTTGCCCCGTTTGCGTGCGAGGAGCCTGGCGAACGCAGGCCGCACGCGCTGGCGGTGCAGCCTCTGCGCCCTCCGAAGTGGTCGAGTACGCCTCCCGGGGCTGCGGGGCTGCCTCTCTCATCTCCGCCCCACGCCCGCTCCCACGTGGCCTCCCCAGGGCCGCCTCCCGGCTAGGTGGGCCGTCCCTGCTGCTGCCCCATGGACCCCTGGGAACCACGCTTGGTGGCCGCTCTCCCTCAACACCCCACGTCGGCCCACGAGGAAATCCTGCTCATCATCCGCCCAGGCGTGCCCCGGGCATGCTACGGCCGCCGGCTTTGCCCTCGTCCTCACCCCTGTCCTCTCTGGAGGGGGTTCTCCTGTAGCTTTCTAATTATCTCCCTGCTTCCCCGAACCTCCCCAACCAAATCATGCCTGACACAGCCGTGCGACTAACCCTTAAAGGTAAGTCAGGTCCCGTCAACACCCCCCACCAAGCTTCCACGGCTCCCCACGTCCCTGGCAAATCCCCGGAAGTCACTCCCAGACCTGACCCCTCCCCAGGAACTACTCTGCTCCCTTAGGCCTCGGCTCTGTCTGGGGGCTCCCTGCACTCCAGCCACACAGGGTGCTCCCTAGACCTGCATGCCTGGCACCCGCCGGCCTTTGCTCTGGTGGCCCCCGCCTGCCGGTGGTCTCTCCTCCTCCCTCCCAGCTATCTCCTCCCGGAAGGCACCCGATTTCTTGGCACGTGCTGCTCCCCTTCCTCGCCAGGAATGGAAGCTGGGATTCCAGGCTGGGTTTATTCACTGTTACATCCTTAGCGCCTGCAGCAGTACCTGGCCCATGGCAGGTATAAGAGAGATACTTCTGGAATATTAAATGAGCGGACGGCAAGGTAGTGACGAGTAAACCCGAGGGCTCATGCCGGGCTTAGAGCAGGCACTGAGGGACGGCGGCATGAGGTCGGCACTCACCTTCCAGGAGCCTGTAGGTCACGCTGATGTTGGGGCAGAGGAACTGCACGGGCAGCAGGCGGAACTGGTGGAAGGTGCCCGGAGGCCGGTTCTCCCGAATGCGAAAGGAGAGGCCTGTCTCTGGGAAGCAGAGCTCCCGGGCTTTCAGGGAGCTGCAAGCCGGGAAGGAGGCATTGATGAAGGAGAAGTACACGCGGGCACAGCCTGGCCACTGGCACTCGCCCTCACGCAGGGACATGGGCAACAGGAAGACCTGGAGGTAGACCGTGAGCAGGGGGAAGCCGCCGTCTGCAGAGAGAGAAGTCAGGCCCATGGGGGCATCGCCATGCCCACCAGACCAAGCTCCAGGATCGGTGTAAAACCCTGTCCTCACCCTGGTCCGCAGGCTCCCTCCACTGGGCCCTCCAGTCCTGCCCACCACCCCCTCCCCTCCCCCACAGGCCTCAGCTCAAATGCCCCCTCCTCAGGGAGGGCCCCAGAGCACAGGTCGAACATTCCCCTGTCCCGCAGGTGGGCGGCTTCTCCTGGGCTGCCTCCTGCCCACCACACCCTCCCCCAGGTGGTATTGTCACAGAGTGTCCCTGCAGAGACATGCCAGGAAGACAGTTCCCCAGCACCTAGGGGAGCATTTCCAGCAAGTTCCATCACCAAGGCACCACAGCGATGTCAGCGAGGTCTGGATCCCAGCTGGGGTGGGGGCTTTTCCTGGGCCTCCGTCTCAGCCCCAGGTGAGGGCTGCTCCTCGCACCTGCCTTCTCGTCCTCGTTAGCATTCCCTGTGCTCCTCACCAGCCTGGCCTTCACTGCTCCAGTCCCATCATGGCTGAGAATTCTTTGCACAAACTTTCCCTGTTCAAATCACTGTGCGGTTCCTCCTGACTGGACCCGGCCATTGCAAGAGGCCTCTCCCCAGTCGCGACGGCTCAGGCCTCCCAGGAAGCGCAGATTCCACACTGGCCCCGACTCCAGCTCCTCGGGCTCCCCACTGGGGCTCAGGATGAAGCGTGTGGAACTAAGACCCTGCTCAACGCCACCTTGTCTGGAACCGTCTGGGCTGCCCTGGGAGGGAACTACCCACCCAAGCCCCTTCCCTGTCTGTGACCCTGGCTTTCCTTGGCGATCGGGTCAGTCTGCCCGCGCCTGCCTCTTGCCTGCAGATGGGGCTCAGGGCCGTTTTGAGGGCAAGTGAGGCTGTGCCTCCGGGGGGGTGCTCATCACCCCTTTCTGTCCCAGGTGCTTGTTCCACCCCCACCCCACCCAGTACCGGCGTCACACGTGACCCCGACCCCGAATCTGTGCAGCTGGCCATGGGCTCCGCCTCCCTACCAGGACGTGTTGGCCGGGCCGAGCCCCCACCAGGTACGAGGGCGGCTGCTGCCAATGGGGGTCGGCTCTGCTGGGAGCTGCTTCTTCTCCAGCAAGTTCCAGGTCATTTGCTAAATCAAAACTTTGGGGCCGGGTGCGGTGGCTCACGCCTGTAATCCTAGCTCTCTGGGAGGCCGAGGCGGGCGGATTGTTTGAGCTCAGGAGTTCGAGACCAGCCTGAGCAAGAGCGAGACCCCGTCTCTACTAAAAATAGAAAGAAATTAATTGGACAACTAAAAATATATAGAGAAATTAGCCGGGCATGGTGGCGCATGCCTGTAGTCCCAGCTACTCGGGAGGCTGAGGCAGGAGGATCGCTTGAGCCCAGGAGGTGAGGTTGCTGTGAGCTAGGCTGATGCCACGGCACTCACTCTGGCCCGGGCAAAAGAGTGAGACTCTGTCTCAAAAAAAAAAAAAAAAAAAAAAAAACTTTGGGATTTTTTTCCTCCTCCTCTTAATCCTTCTCTTGAAACCTCCAAATCCTCGCTAATCCCACTGGCAAAGGCGTCTGGGTCCAGCATGGGGAGAGCACCCGAATCATTCACATGGGTCTCCAAAACCCCGACAGCCTCAGGAAGCCCCCGTGTCATTTATGGCCCCCAAACTTGTCCTGCGCCCTCGCCAGGCTGGACACAGAGGCAGGCTGGTCTCACCTCGCCCCTTATCCCTTCCGCACCAGGTGTCGTGGGGAAGCCAGGCTCTGAGCCTGTGACGGCCGCTGTGACGAGGGTGGCCTGAGGGTGAGGAGGGGGTTGGGGCTGCTCCCTTACTGTGGATGCTGAGCTTCTCCCAGGAGCCGCGGTCCAGGCTCTGGTTAAGGTAGAGGAGGCCAGTGTCCTCCTGGATGCGGATCCAGTTGTTCTCGTGCAGCCGCGTGCGGTAGGCGCCGTAGAGGTGTGGGCCTAGGCGGAAGCTGGGCACCTCCTCGGGGGCGTCCCGCAGGGCATGGACATAGAGCAGGGGTGTGCCGGCCGGCTGGTCCACGTACAGCTTCTCCCAGTAAGCATCCCTCGAGAAGTAGAGGCCCAGCGGGGCTGCAAGAAGCAGGGAATTGTGTGAGGGAGAGTGGAGATAAAGGCCTCCTCGTGGATACAAAAAGTATCATTAATTCAAAATTCCAATCTTAGCAGAAATTTCTCATCTCCAGTCCTGAGAACGTGAATACGCAAGTATTTGTATAGCTACACCCTGGCTGAGCATGCACTGCTTTAAAGCAGAAGAAGAAAAAGGAGGGAGGAGGGGGAGGCGGAACAGAGCAGCTGCAAACTCCTCCATTACCCAAGTCTGGCGACACCCGGCCACACCTGAGCCGCCGGTTCACACGGGCTCCGAACGACTCGCCCAGAGCCAGGGCGTTCAAGGGCATGAGGCTGTTGCTCCAGACAAGCAGGGCAGGCGACAGTCCCCAAATGAAGAAAGCACTTTGTGAGAAAGTCACAAACCTTTATCTAAACATCCTGCTGTCACCTGGCCCCGAAATTCCCTCCATTCTTCCAAGAGAAATGAAAACCCACGTCCATCGAGTGACTTAATCTAAATCACAACAGCCGAGAGCTGGAAACGGCCTACATGCCCTTCTACAGGGGGACACAGGCAAACTGTGGTCCGGCTACACCGCAGAATCTTGCCCAGCAATAAAAGGGGTGATCTATTGACACACACACCACCCGGCACTGACTGCAGACATCATGCCGAGTTGAAGAAGCCAGGCAGAAGCGAACACACGGCACCGTTCTGGACTGACGTTAGGTGGTAACTCAGGCTGGCTGCCTGTGGGTGGGGCAGGAGGCAGACTGGGAAGAACGGGAGGGCAGGTTCTGGGGAACAAAGGTCCCGTATCCTGATACGGTGCGGGTCACGTGGGCACATCCATTTGTCAACATCGCACAGCTAAGACCCATGCTTTTCAAACTTTGTAAATTTTACCCAAAAACCTGAAAAACTAATCACTGAAGGAGCAGTGGGCAGAGATGTAGCTTCCTCGAGGAAGGCAAGATGCCGGCCTTCCATGGCCACGTGAGCCCACTTGGGAGCAGGGCACACTGCCCTGCTGACTTTGTGAATGGCCGACATTTTTCATAATAAAAAGTTTTTTAAATTGTAAGCAGTTTTTGGAACACTTTGTGCACTGTTAGTGGGAATGTAAAAGGATACAGCCGCTGTACAAAACCGAAAGGCAGTTCCTCAAAAAGTTAAAATTGAATTACCATATGACCCAGCAAGCCCACGTCTAGGTATATAACCAAAGAATAGAAGGCCAGGTCTCAAAGGGACATCTGCACACCGTGCTCACAATAGACAAGAGGTGGAAGCAACCCTAGTGCCCACCGATGGAAGAATGGATAAATGAAACCTGATTATGCACACGATGGAATATTATTTGGCCTTAAAAAGGAAGGAAATTCTGACACATTCTACAACATGGATGAACCTTGAGGACATTATGCTAAGTGAAACAAGCCAGCCACGAAAGGACAGATACTGCACAAGTCCACTTACGTGAGGCATCTAGAGTAGGCAGATTCGCAGAGACGGAAAGTAGAATGGTGGCTGGGGAGGGGCTGGGGAGTTAGTGTTTAACAGGGACAGAGTCTCAGTTCGGGGCGATGACAAAGTTTTGGAGATGGGTGGTGCTGATGGTTGCACAACGGTGAGAATGCACTTAATGCCATTAGACCGCACACTTAAACATAAACTGTAAATTTTATTTTATGTGTATTTTTCCACAATAAAAAATAGTAAGAATTTTAAAAGAGACGAATAGGCAAAAAATGCTTAAAGCCCATTAAAAACCTGCAAATTACTCTGTAACACACAAAATATGCTGACATCCAAAGCAGACATCAGCAAACACTGTACTCGCGTACAACGGATTTCTTTCTTTTTTTTTTTTTTTTTTAAGACAGAGTCTCACTGTGTTGCCCGGGCTAGAGTGCCGTGGCGTCAGCCTAGCTCACAGCAACCTCGAACTCCTGGGCTCAAACGATCCTCCTGCCTCAGCCTCCCGAGTAGCTGGGACTACAGGCATGTGCCACCATGCCCGGCTAATTTTTTCTATATGTTTTTAGTTGTCGGATTAATTTCTTTCTATTTTTAGTAGAGACGGGGGGGTCTCGCTCTTGCTCAGGCTGGTCTCGAACTCCTGAGCTCAAACAATCTGCCCGCCTCGGCCTCCCAGAGAGCTAGGATCACAGGCGTGAGCCACCGCGCCCGGCCCAACCGATTTCTTTTTGATCAGTTTGTTCCATCTAGATCCCGCTTCCCTCCAGCCACGGCTCGGTCCCCGAGGGCAGGACGGAGACATCAGCAGAGGATGCCCCTCGAGCCGTCTGGGGCCTCCAGGACATACTTGGGTTTGGAAAACAATCAAGCGCCAGCTGGAGTTGGTGGAAGAGAACAGGTAAGGCCGTTTGGAGTCCCAAAGTGGTCAAACTGGAAAAGGAGGCTTCTCTCGAAGTGCTGTCCTTCGGGCAGCTTTTGTTTCTGGCCACAAAGAGGACGAGAGACTGTAACTCGCATGGCCTCGCAGAGCCCCTCCCCACCCAGTGTGGTGCCCCGTGCCCGGGGTCCCCCCAGGGTGTGCCTACAGGATGCTCCCCCACGTGGTGGGTCTACCCTCTCGCCCGAGAGCACTGCCGAGGGATGCTCGGGGACGACCGGGCTCAGGTCTGGAGAGGCAGCGCAGCGCTGACAGCTCTGGTTCTCTCCAGGGACACACACCTCCGGCCCTGGCCTTCCCGGTAAGAACCAGGTGCCCTTGGGAGGGCCTTGCGGGCTGGCTCTGGGGATGCCCAGGCTGCAGAGGAGTGGACAGGGCATGGCCCACCCCGGCCGTAGGGGCAGATCCAGCTTGTGAATCCTGTGAGGTGCCCCCTCTGGGGGTCTTCATGCAGCACATGCCCCTCCGCGGTCCAGGGGCTGGGCGGTGGGCCGGCCTGAGCTCCCCAAAGCCCCCACCATGGAGACCACACATGCAGGGGGAATGGGCCCTTCCCGCCCTCATCTGGGGAGCCCAGCCCCAGCCCTACAGGATCGTGTGGGGCCCAATCTCACTCGTGTCGCTGCTGCCAAAGGGATTTATGGGTCGGGCAATGATTATGACCAGAAGCAGATTTAAATGCACTTAAAATGCCTCCCAGGTGGTCCCTGCAGCAGGGCATGGCCGTCTTAATGCTCCTCCGTGTCACAGACACTTCTAGATGGAAAAACACACGGTTTGAGTTGGGGAACTGAAGAGGTGGGTGCAGAGCCGGCCTCAGGGTGGGTACAGCCTGGGCAGTCCCCCGTGAGTCCCCACTCAGAGGGCTCACTCGTGGTTTAATGCTCTGATATCACAGTCGTGAAATTCCTCATAGTTTTAGAACAAGGGCCACAAATGATACAGCCGATCTCGGTGGGTCACTGGGGAGAGCTGCTGGCATCCAGCGCCACTGGGCTCTGCAGAGCACTGGCCTCCTCTGGGCCTCAGTTTCCCCAACCGTGAAGGGGAGAAGCATGCTGGGGAGAGAAGGAGTGGCCAGTGCAGGTGCAGACGGGTGCGCACCTCTGCGCCGGTGTGCACTGTTACGAACTTCTCCCTGCAGACTGAGCTGCAGATCCCTGCACTGACCCCTCACAGGCAAGGACACCGAGGCTGGGAGGTGAGAAGCCTGACCAAGGTCACACAGGTGGGCACGCCTCGAGCCTCTGCATCTAGGGGCGGCTGCCATGGCGAAGAAAGAGATGGTGGGGCTAAGGGCAGGCAGGTGCGGAGCCCATGGGCAGCCCTTGCTGGCCAGATGCTCCTCACTGCTGTCCCCTTTCTGCCCAGAGGGCCACCGGCCTGTGGGCTCAGACCTGCGTCTGGTGCGAGCCGCCCTTGGCACTGTGGGCGGGTCACTAGCAGGACTTGCAAAGCCTTTTCCATGCCAAGCCTTCAGCTCCCAAATGCCATGTGGTGACAGAATCCTCCCCAATCCTAGCGCACAGGTTTCTGCCTCAACAGGTTTGGCCGCCAGGGCCGGGCCCGCCCTGCACTCGCTTCCATGGCCCGGCACACACCGCACCCACTGGCGGTGCAAAATGGTGGTGTTGCTTGTCTGAGAAACCAAAGGATTCCCACATCATCCCCCAGTGGCCAGCCTGAGCCCGACCCGCCACGGGGAACAGGTGAGTCCCACCTGCTCACAGCACACCTGCCAAAGGCCCAAGTCATTGTTCGCATTGGAAGAGGCCCTGGGAACCTTCCCGGCCTATGCGTGTGTGTAATGTGTGCATACGCGCACACGCACCCGGGCGTGCAGCAGACAGCCGAAACGGAGATAGAGGTACACTCCCCTGAGACCCCACCTGCTCCACCCTCAGCAGGGACGACGGCCCTACCTTTCCACAGGGCGAGGCGCTGTCTGGGCCAGGGCAGGGCCTCATCTGAATCACCCCCCACAGGTAAGCCCCGCACCATGCCAGCGGCACGGGCTGCAGTCACCAGCCACGGTTTTGCTTCTAACTCTAACCTGGTTTTCGGCCGGGCAAAGCTGCACACTTGGCCGGGATGTTTAATTTATTTGTATTTGGATCCTGACGGACCCAGTCCCGAGGCCTCTCCTCCCACAGGCGTGCACACAAGTGCACACGCGCTCTTGCACACCTCATCGTATCACTGTCCCCGTGCGCACATTCGCAGGCCACGCTGGCCCTGAGCATCCTCCTTTGCGGGCAGCAAGGCGCTGCCTCGTCGGTGGAGGATGCTGGGGTGAGGCGTGGAGAGACGAGGCTGCTCCCGCTTCTGGTGACGACCGACGTCTTGCCTCTCCTGTCTCCTGCTGCCCGGCAGCCAGTGGCGCAGGGGTGTGGGGACATCCAGTGTGCCCGGCCCCAGCTGTGTGCCCGAGGCGCGCGTTCCCGCGGCACCCGCACGGCCCACCCCCGGGGTGAGGATCCTTCCTGCACCCCCAGACAGACTCCTCTGCATGCCCAGCCCTGGCCTCGGCTCCTGTGACCCAAGGGTTACCCGCTGACAGCCCCGGGCTGTAGACCAGCCCTGGCCCCGGCACCGTCTCCTCCCCGGAGCTCTGACCCCAGCTGCGGGGGGATACCTCCCCGGTGCCTGCCCTCGGCTGCAGGCCCCACAGAGCTCTTCCCACCTCCGCTTGCTCTTTCATCAGCCTTCAGTGCCTCTCGTGTTACCTGCGCCTGTTCTTAATGACTGCGGGGCTGACCCTGACTGGACCCAGACGCACACACGTGTTCTTTCTCCCACACACTCATTCTCTCCCGTGCACACCGTTACACACCACTGTCTCACACGTGTGCTCACATCCTCCCCCACGGCCAGTCTTGCTCCGACACGCACAGGCGTTCTCATGCTGGTGCACGCGTGCATCACACAGGCACATCCTCTCACTTTGGTGCACCTGACATCACACAAGCCTGCAGTTCTCACTGCTGCGCACGTGTGAGCACAAGCACCCTTCTCGCACACCCAGCGCACATGCACTGAGCCGTGCAGGCGCTAAGCGTGGCCTGGCCCTGCGGCCCTCGAGGCCGGGGCTCTCTGAGCGCTGCACAGAGGTGGACGAGCTGCTCTCTGCACCACGCATGCCCCGGGCAGGCCCTTCCCTGCCGTCATCTCTGGTTTCTCCATCCCTCTCTGCCGCCACCTGCCTGCTCTGATGGGCACAGTGACCCTGACACAGAAACGCAGATGGAGCTCCAGACAACTAGAAATCTCCCCAGGACCAGCAAAATGAAAGCTGAAATTCGGGAATTCCAAGAAAGGAAAAAAAGTCGTAGGCCGGGCGCAGTGGCTCACACCTGGAGTCCCAGCACTCTGGGAGGCC